TTTTTTTTATTATAGTGATTCAAGATTTCATGACAATATAATATTATTGTATACTTTCCAAAGTTCTTCTAAAACAAATTAATTTGATTGGACATAATTTTCACTTTCTTATTACAGTGATTCAAGATTTCATGACAATTTATTGACTACTTTTCTTAATTTCATCTAAAAAAAATTAACTTAGGAATATGCGGTTGCACTTATTTTTCACTTTTCGAATTTATCGAAATTTATGTTGTTCTCACATTTTTCTATATTTACTGCATATTATGGTAAATGCTATAACTTGAAGTTTAAGTTAATTTCTTTAGATTTTGTAAGGTATTTTGTAATGTTTTTTTAAATTTATCAAGGCCATGTTAGATGTTGGCTTATGTTGATAATAAATTGGTTTGTGTTTTTTGCTATGAGTTACATGAAGTTAAAATGCAAGTAATTTATTTAACATTTCGGAGAAATATCAAGATTGTTTAAATGTAAAAAAAAAGGTGAGTTTTTAGTTTTTGAATTCTACTTTTCAAAAGTTTTGATTTTATTTTAGGGTAAAAAAAGAAATGTATGTGAAGAATATCTTTTTTTAAAAAAACGAAGGCACTATCCACTGATATTTTCCTTTTAATCTATTATTGTGCTATATTTTAATTAATTTCAATTAATTGTATACGAAAAAAAATGACACCTGAATTTATTAAAGAGATCAACCAATTAACTAATGAAATTTCAATAAAAATATTCATATTTGCAAATGTAATCTAAACAAATAAAATATATATAGATAATTTTATTTTTTATAAAGACTAAATTTATGAAAAAATATATATCTATTCACTAATATTTCTATGTTCACTATAGAAGGAGAAAAAAGTTGTGTCGAGAAAAAATAATTCCGACCAATTAAATTAAAATGATATGATGATCATATTTAATTGATTGATCTTTAATTTGATTAGTTACGCCATGTCACGTTCACCCATGATCTATTCCTTTATCGCCTTGTTTGCAACAAATTTTAAACATATGGAAAATAAATAAATCACAAAATAAAATCTGAAGAAACATAATTTAATTGAGGGTACAATTCTGTTTCTCCGTTAATTCTCCTTTCCTAAGATTTATCCATGATTCGAGGGCCGTTAGTGACATATTTCTCGAACTAGGATGATTTAGATTTGACCTCTATATGAATATTCCATGACTTTTGTGGAATATATCGAGGTCTTGATCTCTTTATGGAATTTTTTAGATGACTTTTAAAAGAATTTAGTACCCTTTATATAGGCATAATAAACTAGGGTTTAGGGTTGAGTAGCCTTCAAGAATCCTAATTTGAGTTGAACACAATTAGTAGAGTCCCAACTCGAATTGAACACATCTTGTAGAGTCCCACAAAATTTCAATGTCTAGAAATGCCCCCTGCTTCAAGGCTTGTCGGAGTGTAGACTTGATGAAACTCATGAAAGACAAGGCTTGAAGTACTCATTCTTCCACCTTTGCAGCTTCAGATTTTCAAATTTGATTTAAGAGACAAGAGAGAAAGGCAAATTTGGTCCCACTGGGCGTGCCAATTTGTTTGCAACAAATTTTAAACATATAGAAAATAAATAAACCACAAAAATAAAATTTGAAGAAACATAATTTTATTCATCAAGATAGCGGGTACAATTCTGTTCCTTCCTTGATTCTGCTCTCCTAAGATTTATCCATGATTCGAGGACCGTTAGTGGCGTATTTCTCGAACTAGGATGATTTAGATTTGACCTCTATATGAAAATTCCATGTCTTCTGTGGAATATATCGACGTCTTGATCTCTTTATGGAATTTTGAGATGTCTTTTAAGAGAATTTAGTACCCTTTATATAGGCATAAACTAGGGTTTAGGGTTGAGTAGCCTCCAAGAATCCTAATTTGAGTTGAACACAATTTGTAGAGTCCCAACTCGAATTGAACACATCTTGTACGTAGAGTCCCACAAAATTTCAATATCTACAAATGCCCCTGCTTCAAGGCTTATCGGAGTGTAGACTTGATGAAACTCAGAGACGAGGCTTGAAGTACTCATTCTTCCACCTTTGCAACTTTAGATTTTCAGATTTGACTTAAGAGATAAGAGATGAAGGGCAAATTTGGTCCCACTGGGCGTGCCAATTAGTAGAGTCACAACTCGAATTGAACACATCTTATACAGTCCCACAAAATTTCAATGTCTAAACACCTCTTTCACTCAATTTAGTATGGCACATAATTTAACATATGACTATTTAGTTTATTTCACGTTTTATTATTTTTGATACATGATATTACTTGACTTGATTTGATACGTCATTTCACCGCTGACTCATTAATATCTTTCATATATGTTTGTAAAAAACGTTTTCAATACGACTAATATTCATAAATTATTTCACGATTGATGTTAGTCAACAAATTGCGATGTCATTTTCTTGACAAACGATTTTTTTTCCCTTATCCTTTTGATATATATATATATATATATATATATATATATATTGATTATAGTAGAAGAAAATAGAAATACGCAAACTAAACCATCACTGTTGATACACATGTATTTGCATATTTTTTTTGAAGTTTTTCATTGTTAGTTATTATCTTTATTAAAATTTGATAAAATTTGAATTCTAGATTATAGAGTTCATTTTTGAGGTATCGTTTTTAATGTAACTCTTTTTCCTTTTCAGAAACTCAAATCCAAAACCGATAAATTGATGATAGAGATATTATGATTAAAAAAATATTATTTTCTCAATGAAATTTTATACTAAAAAATGTTCAGTGACTATTTCGACAAATATTTTGATTAAATTAATGAGAAAATACAAGATGGTAATATTTTCACACGAAAAATTAAAAACATTCAGCATTTCAATAAAAATCTATTTTTCATCCGCATATTCTTTTTGTAAATTTATGACTTTTAAATCACACGAAAGTAATTGTACACGTACCTTACACGATATAACTTTCTAAATACAATAATTATGATCTGAGTTAGTAAATCATCAGCTCCAGCTCAGCATTTTGAATCCAATAATTAAGAATATTAAAGAACAATTAAATCCCTATCGAATAATCCAGGTGTTCATTTAATGATTGTGCTTGTGGGCCCATCTGACTAATCACTTCCTTAAACGCAATATATTTTCTCTAATCACAAAAATTATCTGAATAATTCAACAATTCAATTCTTAGTTGCCAAGAATTAGATGCATTTAACTTTGCTAATCACCTTTTTAATGATTTAAATAATTTAAATAACTCAATTCAAAGCAGTCACGTAAAACTTCACTTTTCAGTTTTCACCACAAAAGCTTGCGATAGGTACATTTTGTAGAATAATTAGATCCAACATAAATAAAATATTTATAATGTAACCATATGTACCAACTAAAAAAAGAAAAATATATCTCATATAAATTAGAATAAAAAACAATTTTAAAAAATCAATCATTTGATTTTTGGTGACATCGAAACATCGATGTGGTAAAATCTTATCGGCTATTGACATATCAAACAATCGAACACTAATCCATGTCACGACAATATATTCAGTGCAATTTTATCAGGATCTAAAAATATAATATATACACAATTTTTAATATTAATATAAAAATAACACAAATTAGAAATAATACGATAATCGAATAATAGGTTTCCTTTATTTACGATATAAATTTTAAAGTGATAAAAATATATAATTTTATTGATATAATCATAAAATAACATTCTACTTTCGTTCACTTTTAATTGTCATAATTTCCTTTTTTTAGAGTCAAATGAAAATAACATTGACTAATATTTTACGATGTATTTTTTCATCATATTGATATGCAAAAAAAAATGGAATTTATAGTACTTTTTGTATAGTTTTTGAATATCTATTTTTAAAAAAATATCAAATTATTATAATCTAATTTAACTTTAAAAATTAATCAAATTAACCTTTGAAAAGTGTAACATAACAATTAAAAATAGACAAAAAAAAAACTATAAAAATTATTTTTGTCATTGACGTATTTCTCAAATTAGAATGATACGGTCAAAATAGTATTGAATTTTCATGAATCGAGGAGTCACACTAAACTTGTCATTATCCTTTTTCTTCAAGTTGGGCACAACTTGGCTGCCCGGAAAACGGCGGTTCAACGTGGCTGTCTGATCCACCGTCACTGTTAACAATCCTTTTCCCTCCCGTAACAGTTGTATTTCCCCATTTAATTGCACTTTTAGTCCTTTAACTATTTATAAAAAATTATTTTGATTCTTAAAAGATTTTTATTTAATTAAATATTTTTAGCCTTTCATTAATTTGAATATATTTTATGATCCTTTATATAAGAAAAAAAGTGCGATATTTAGATTATTTCAAAAGTAATAGTGGTTAATTTAGTTCATGAGATAAAAATAGATAATTCAAGATTATTATTTTTAAAAATCACCTTAGTGCAAAGAAATCAGAAATTAAAAGATAAAAGTTCATATAATCAATTGATTGAGAGTTTTCAAACTTTTTAATTTTATTTTATTTGATAAAATGTATAAATTTATGCTATTATAAATTAAATATCAAACCTAATCCTAGATATTCCATTCTTATCCATCAAAGTTGATGTTATTTTATTCACCTCTCATGTGTCCATATCCCGATTGCGTGCATTTAATATTTCTTTGCACATAAAGAATGCCATTTTTAATTTTTGTCTTTTTATTTCTTTTGTAAAATAAATTAGTCTAAAAATCATATTTTTATAACTATCATCTCTAGATAACTTAGTTGGCAAACAAAATATCCCCCAACCGTAACTCATCACAATACATTAATAGTGGAATGATTTAACACTTAATAATTTGTTATATTTGTAAAAATAATAATCTCAATCAACCAAAAATCACAAGGACTAAAATTAAAATATTTAATATTTAGAGGACTAAAAGTGCAATTTTTTCTTTTTCTTATTAGAACATGAAATTGAGCTCTAGCAGACCAAAATCACCAATCATGTTTGAGTTGATTTCTATTTCTGGCCATCACCCTAATTTCATCATCAATACTATAAATAGGCCAATCCAAAACCCCATAATCCCATCATTCTTCTCTTCTCCAACAACCCATTTTTCATACTCATTCAATAAATCTATTAACCCTTTACAATTCTCTGTTTCATCACCTACCACTTCAATTCTTGCTCACAAAGTAAGTATCTTTTATGGTTTTTTGCATTGTAGTTGTTGTTTTTGTTCAATTTAGTTTCGTGGGGTTCCATTAAATTTGAATTTTATGAAAATCCCATATCAAGACTTAATCACTCTGTCATAGTGGGTTGTGGGTTGACATTATGATATTCAAGAAAGCTAATTTATTTGATATTGTACATTAAAAATCTTATCTTTTGAGTAAATTTCAATGCATTGTCACTTTAGTTTACTGGGGGTCTTTCGAATATGTTGTTGTTGCTGTTGTTGTCTTATTTAATTTATTGACTCTGATTTGAAGTTTTCTGGTTTTGGTACATATAGATGTGTTTCTACACTTCCTTAGTTTAGAAAGTGGTGGGAATAAGCTTCTTATTGTTGGTATGGTGATAAAGATTGTACTTTGATATGTGTTATCTGAGCCAAGGGTCTTTTGAAGACGGCCTCTCTACCTCCACGAGGTAGGTAGGGGTAAGGTCTGTGTAAACTCAACTCTTTCCTGATCTCACTTGCGGGATTTCATAGGGTATGTTGATAAAGATTGTAATTTGGGTTTGATTTTCTTATTTTTTTGGTTTGTTTCAGGGAAGTGAAGTAGAATTTGAGAAAGGGGTAGAAGAGGAGGAAGAAGAAGCAAAAACAGTAGTAGACGCTGCCATGACGATTACTCCAGCGATAAGGATTTCTGACAGAAAACTAATGGTGAAAGACAGAACAATATTAACAAATGTACCCGACAACATACTCACCACTCCCGGTGCTGCATCAGGTCCATTGGAGGGTGTATTTCTTGGTGCAGAATTTGATCATGACAATAGCAGCCATGTTGTGTCACTCGGGAAATTACAGGATGTTCGGTTCTTGTCTTGTTTCAGGTTCAAGTTATGGTGGATGGCTCAGAAAATGGGTGATAGGGGAAGTGAAATCCCAATGGAAACACAATTTCTTCTTGTTGAAACAAAAGATGGATCTCATCTCGGATCCAACAACAACAACAATGATGATAATATTGTGTATGCTGTTTTCCTTCCATTAATTGAAGGTTCATTTCGAGGTGTTCTTCAGGGGAATCCTGAAGACGAGCTCGAATTATGCCTTGAAAGTGGTGATAAGGACACTGTTGGCTCAACATTTAATCAAGCAGTTTATATGCATGCGGGCAGTGATCCGTTTGTTGTCATCACTGAGGCAATTAGGGCGGTGAAGTTACATCTCAAGACTTTCCGGCAACGGCACGAGAAGAAGCTCCCCAAAATTGTTGATTACTTTGGGTGGTGCACTTGGGATGCTTTTTATCAAGAAGTTACTCAAGAAGGCGTTGAAGCCGGACTCGAAAGTCTTACAGCTGGTGGTATCCCGCCGAAATTCATCATCATCGACGATGGCTGGCAGTCAGTCGGCGGTGATCTAGAAGTTGATAAACCATTGATGAGACTTACAGGATTAAAAGAAAACGAAAAATTTCAGAAGAAAGAAGATCCAACGGTGGGGATTAAAAACATTGTGAATATAGCTAAAGAGAAATACGGGTTGAACTATGTGTACGTATGGCATGCGATAACGGGTTATTGGGGCGGAGTCCGACCAGGAGTGAAGGGGATGGAGGAATACGGGTCGGTTGTGAAGTATCCGGATATTACAAAAGGGGTGATGGAGAATGAACCAGGTTGGAAAACGGATGCAATTGCGGTTCAGGGTTTGGGTTTGGTTAACCCGAAAAGTGCTTATAAGTTTTATAATGAAATGCATAGTTATTTGGCATCAGCTGGGGTGGATGGATTGAAGGTGGATGTGCAGTGTATATTGGAGACACTAGGGGGTGGTTTAGGGGGTCGGGTTGAGCTCACTAAACAGTATCATCAAGCTCTTGATGCTTCCGTTGCTAGGAATTTCCCTGATAATGGTTGCATTGCTTGCATGAGTCACAGTACTGATGCGCTTTACTGGTATGTTCACTTTCTATTTTGGTTTAATATTTTCCATTTTTGATGATGAACTTCAAGTCTTTACAGCTGAAATTTAGTTCTAAGTGATTCATTTGATGTTAGCGTGATCTATATTTCTCATGTTAACCACTAATTTTTTGGTCAGTTTCTTGAAATATTGAGATTTTTCTTGATTTTGGGAAGTAGATGCATATCAGAATATGTAAAGATCTGATTTTTCAGGCTTTTCTCTGTCGGTGTTTTGATTATTTTTCATTGAGAAATAGAACATTTCTAAAGTTTTCGACAAAGTAAATTGTATTACCATCTTTTCTTTTTCTTTGGTTACTAGCATACAAAGTAGTGTAAAGTAGTATATTCATGTTGCTTCTGGCTGGCCCAATGTGCCAAATGAAAAATACTCTAGCTGCCATGGTTTCCTCCAAATAGTTGCTGGAATTGCTTAAAAAAATAGTTTTTTGGCAAGTTGATATTTTCTGTATTGATAATATCAATAACAGATAAGGCCCATGTGTCCTTTTTCGTTTTTTTTTAAACTTAATACAGCATTTAGTATGTGGTTACTGTACAGATTTTATAACTTGTTTAATGTTGTATTTGGATCATTTCAATGGAACAGTTCAAAGCAGACGGCAGTTGTGAGAGCATCAGATGACTTCTATCCAAGAGATCCAGTTTCACACACCATTCACATTGCTTGTGTGGCATACAACAGTGTGTTCCTTGGAGAAATTATGCTGCCTGATTGGGACATGTTCCACTCCCTTCATCCAGCAGCCGAGTATCATGGCTCAGCGAGGGCGTTGAGTGGTGGACCTGTCTATGTTAGGTAATAAATTTATGTCCAATGAGTATTTATATGGATCCTTGTTTTGTAACGACAGTAGCATGTGATGATTTGTGTCGAGTTGCTAATTTTTTTGCTCTGTTCCGAATGACAGTGATGCACCTGGCAAGCACAACTTTGATGTTCTGAGGAAGCTTGTTCTTCCCGATGGTTCAATTCTTCGTGCTCGTTTGCCTGGTCGACCTACAAAGGACTCCCTTTTCACTGATCCTTCTCGTGATGGTGTTAGGTACGTGTTCCATTTTCACCATTAATGCAATTTATTGAATGTTCAGCTTAGGTGGTCCTTAGTTGAATTTTTTGAGGTGGAAGGTTGGTTTGTTTAGAATGGGAAATAAGGATAAAGACCACAAGAATGTGCAGTTTATATTCCTCTATTTCCTTCTCTTTTTTTTTTATAACTATGGTTAAGCTGTGGCTGATAATGGGAAGTGAACTGTTTTGGTAACATGATTGCAAATAGTGAGAGTTGTGTCTAACGAACATAATGATGTTTTCAGCCTTTTGAAGATATGGAACATGAACAAATACACTGGTGTTCTTGGAATATACAACTGCCAAGGTGCAGCGTGGAGCACGGTTGAGAGGAAGACCACGTTCCACAAAACCAACTCAGAGGCGATAACAGGCTATATAAGGGGCCGTGATGTCCATTTCATATCTGAAGCTGCCTTGGACCCCAACTGGAGTGGAGACACAGTTCTTTACTCTCATGGAAGTGCTGAGCTTGTTGTTCTCCCGTATAATGCAGCAATGCCTGTTTCTTTTAAGATCCTTGAGCACGAGACATACACTGTCACGCCTGTTAAGGTCTTGGCACCTGGCTTCAGCTTTGCACCTTTGGGGCTCATTGACATGTACAATGCTGGTGGGGCAATTGAAGGACTAAAATATGAGGTGAAGGCAGGCGCAGAACTGTCTGAACTCGAGGCTGGATATCAAGGTGAAGGAAATCTTGTGGCTGAAGATAAAATTGAGAACTTGAGCACAGAAGCAGTTGCAGTAGTGTCGATGGAAGTAAGGGGATGTGGCCGATTTGGTGTTTACTCGTCTGTCAAGCCGAGGAAGTGCAGTGTGGGTGGAGATATGCTTGATTTTGCCTATAACTCAGAATCTGGTTTGTTAACTTTGAATCTTGATGCTATGCCTCCAGCAGATCAGAAAGTGCACATCATTGAAGTTGAAGTATAGATATTAGGAAGGAAGAGATTATTAAGAAGGGGATTTTTTGGGGACTCAAAAAGTGAGATTGGGACTTTAGATAACTTGTCCGGTCCTGCTAACACGAGATGTTTTGTGCCTTACTAGATTATGATCCATAGTATGTGTCCCCACTTATTTGTATCACCATTGAATAGTTAAGCGGCATGGTAGAAGCTGATGATCTAAGAAGGAATTTAATGTGGTCCATTAATAATGGAATATGGTTATCATTCAATAATGTGATTATGATTGTGTTTGACAATGCTGTTTTCATTCTCTTGTTATGTTTGGGCCAACTTGCGCAAACTTTGATTATTCTATAAGACCCACGATAGGTGTAGTATTTGTAGAGATTATGATATTTTTTGGTCCTGTTTGGATTGCTTTTCTTGTAGCTATTATGGTGGAAGAAATGTAAATTTGATTTTCCAGTACCTTCTCCCCCTCTGCAGCTTTGGTTCCTACTACCTCCAAACCCCAGAGCTTTCAGTCCTCCAACGCTCCTACCCCTAGTTTTCGTTCTTATGGCTCAGAGATTGAACAATTTGACAGTAAAAGTTTATGCTTTGTTATGTATCGTTGCTATTGTATATTGTATTGTGTTGTCTTGATGATATAATGTTTGGATAGATTGTGTTGGTTCTCGTTAAATAGTGAGCAATATGATGGACAAATCTACAATAGAATTATTAGATAACAATATGAGAAGAAAAAGATAGGTAATGAGGCTATAATCTCTTTGGATCATTTGTGGCATCTTGTTGAGAGGAAAGATGGAGGCCCTACGTGAAAACACATGATGGATGATCATTCCACCCCTAATATGAGCTATCAATTAGAGATAGTTAAGCTGGTCCTAGAAATGGAGCCACAAGACAATGATTCTTTCTGTGAAGAGTGTAGTTGACGTCAATTTACTTGCTTGGGATTCTCTAACTACCACAAAATCCTTCAATTAGAGAAATGGACATGAAAACTAAAACATCTTACATGTTGGATCAAACTGTAGGTCGTCAAAGACACAAAAAATATAACAAGTAGAGTTCGATTTCATTCTTGTATCAAACTGAAGCGTTGCATACACAACCTTACCCAGACTCCACTGGTGAGATCACACCGAGTATGTTGTTGTTGGATAAAAAACTGAACTAGTGAAGAAGGGAAATTTGGAGAAATAAAAAGAACAATTTTGAATTTCTAGAGAATGTACATTATAAGAAGACAGTGTATTACCAAAAAGCACTTACAATCATACTTATGACTTACAGCTAAATCTTCCAAGACTTTGCCATTTTTACAAGTATAAAATAGTTTAGCTGCAAAAGAATGGCTCCCAACTGAAAATTTCTCTCCCTAACAGAAGCCATTTGAGGGGTCTGTGGACTTTCGTTGCTTTTGATGGAGCTTTTGGCCTACCCTTTTTTCAGTTAATCTTGACAGTTTAATAATTCCATTGATGGTCTTCTGGCCTAAAAAGGAGTCCCTATTCTTCGAAGTCAGATTCGTTCTGTGCAGACAATAACACTTCTTCAAGTTCCTTACTGAAGTCTTCATTGTCATCCTGCTCTTCAGCCACTTCTTGTTGGGACTTATCATGCTCTTCAGCCACTTGTTGTTGGGACTTATCATGCTCTTCAGCCACTTTTTGTTGGGACTTATCATGCTCTTTTCCAACAACGTCAACTGAGTCTTTCACAGGCTGATGAAGAATGCCTGTTTTTTGATAAAATAATTCCTTCTGAGCTTTCCAGTCATCAGCAGTCTTCCCGACCACGTCTCCTATCAATGTCTGGTTTTCTGCTATGTGCTTTATACTTTCTACATCCACAATGTCACTAGCCTCTATAAGAAAAAAACAAGAAAAAACAAGTGAAAAGATGTCCTCCACAACTTTATTGAAGGGGGAGTCAAAACCTTGGATGCAAAAGAAACCTATGAAATTATGCATGCCCAATCCCCTGAATCTTGAAACTAAGATCAAACTTGGGAGGAAAGTTTTAGATTGCCTATACACTATCTGAACAATACTTCTGTGAACGATTCAGGGTAGCTTCACCGCATAAACGTATTCACAGCTACTTCAGTATGTACCAATGCATAATTTTCACTGCTATTGAATACTAAATATCCTTACTTAGCACATCAATAGTGCAGACCACATATAGAAAATGGCAAAAATATATTTCCGACAAAAGCATAAGAAGCTCATTGAGTTACTTTTAATACTAAATATGCCATACTCACACATAACAGTGCTGACAATACATAGAAAATCACCAAAATATATGTTCCGTTAAAAGCTTTAAGCTCATAGAAATACCTTTAATAGCTAGATCTTTCGCCCTTGCATAATCTGCTGACTTTTGCTTGAGCAAATCCACCTCAAGCTCCAATCCCTAGGAAAAATGGGAATATGAATTTAGCAGTCTCAAGTCAAAGATGGAGACATGCAATAGCAGGTTAAGTCACTAGAGACCTGATGAAAGGATTTGCACAACTAATGCAGCCTCCCACCTAGCTAACTTGCTATACTGAGCAACTCCAACATTCAAATAATCCAATAAACTGAAAGAATGCCCACATGTCCAAATAATCCTCTAACAATATATTTGATTTTGGGTCATTTAAAGCTTAAAACCCTCCATTTGAGTTTATCTCATAAACAGGAAACAAGTAAATGGAGGAAACATAAATAACACCTGCATGTGATTCTGAAGATACTTGCACAATTACATTTACAAAAAAACACAGAAACACCACCACGACAGCAGAAACAATATCCTATTCCAGCAAACACAATTGGTTCACATTTTGGAAGGGAGCAATTCCAACCAAATTGAAGTCACAAGTTATAGAAAGTCGATTGCTCTAAAATAACTAAATATTACTTGTATTTTTTATTTTGACGAAGTTGTCACCTGATTATTTTCTTGCAATCAATAGAAGTACAGGGCTACTAAATATTTCCATCAATATGGTGCTTGAGTTCAACAAATCCTTGTAACTAGCCACATCAATCCATATGAACACTGTATGCAAAAGTACAAAGCTGGAAGTATATTCTAGAAATCAAACATACCATATCCATGTGGGTGAAATGCTCGATCCGGCTATTTGCAAATAACCTACATCAGCCAAGGAAACAAGATGAGGGAAGGTTTAGAGTAGACTGTGAAATAACAAGCTGTAGCAGGAAAAGTATCAGTAACGTACTTTTTGCATGCTATTTGGATACTTGCATTTTGTACTTCGGACAGTTCATCTAATCTCTCCGCAGCAGAGCTTTCATTCACATCCACAAACCCAAAAAGAAACATGTTCCTATCTAACATACGCTTGACTACAGCAGGGACTACCTTAACATCTTTGGCCTTTGCCTCAGCAACAACGTTCCTAAGATTCTTTAACTCTCCTGTCAAATGGAATTGACGAAATATCATCAAATCACAGCAAGATAAGTGCATCAAAAGCACGTCAGAGTTGCACAATGAACTAAATTGGTAACCTAACACTAGAAAATTGGTAAACAAAAAATACTAGACGAAGTACCAGATTCAAACCTCCACATACCAATATAAAAGGAATTCACAGACATTAATCAGATAGTATACATCCTAAGTGGAATTCAGCCAGAAGGAACAATAAATTTCAGACTAATATAGCACTATGGTCCAATGGCTTGCTGGAGCACCATTGATCAGCTGTTTAGAATGTCTCCTAGACAGAAATTTCTTTCTCTGATTGGCACTCCAAGATAAGAAGTTGATGGGGTATGCACCCAAAGAAACACCCAATTTTTTTTATATCCTCATAGATCTCCAACTGAAAGAATGAATAGAATGTGGCAATTCATTTATCACACAGGTGTGGCTACATATCATGAACACTGAATTATGGTGAACCAGTCTAGAAGTGTGAACTAATGCATATTGAATCTGCAGATGATAGTTCAAAACTTATAATGTTCATTGGGGTATTTCTGATGCTGAAGATGCAACGACTTCTCATGAATATAGAACTGCCATAAGGTAATTTGAGAAATGAGAGAGAAAGAGAGGAGGAGATCATTTGGTATCCAAGGAGTTTTTCGTAAGAAGTCCTGCTGACTATTGTTCTTTAAATAAAAACACAACATGTCCTTCAAATGAAATTGAAACTACCACTTAAGAACTTGTTCACAAAACTATAGTATAAGCTGATATTGTGATTGGTGGTCTCAGTAACACCAACTTATTCATCACCTATATTTTCATTTTTCATAAATTATCCAAGAATTCCTTGAATTTTGTGCTTTAACTATTACTATGAATCACTGAGAAAACTGAATACAGTATTGACCCACCTGTGATTTCAATTATACAGGTTAATGTCCCAAACCTAAGCCAAGAAAAGTTTTAACATCAGTCGAAGCAACAATTGCGGACACCTATTAGTGGTAAAAATCCATTCACATAACCTGCAAAATATAGAAACTTGATAGTCCAGTTACATGTTTGGAGAACTCTCCTAAAGCAACCTACGTATAGTATGAGTAATAAAACTATGAATCAACATCCTCACTAGAGCAATTCACTATGCCAATGATCTATGGAAAATAAATGTAAATTTTACTTCCTAATTGATCTGATCTAAAGCATAAATTGTGTTAAAATCAGTTTCCATGTTCCATGACACATTTTAAAACAGAAATCTAGGAAGTATCCATGATGACATATGCTCTAGACAATGCCATAAAAAAAAAACAGGAGATTTGCATCTGCATTTCAAGTTTGAAAGTATGTAGTTTGAACATATTGGATTCGGAAATTTGGCCAAAGAATGGTGGAATTCTTTCAACATTATTGGCAGGCTAGATTTCATCTTTTGCAAAGAAACTCTAATTATTGAAAGTTAAGCTCAAGGAATGGAACATGACTTCTTTTGCACAATTGGAAAATAGGAAATTCTTCATCCTTAACAGGATTATGAAATCGAACCAGAATCCGACAATTCTCCCCCTTTGGATGAGGCATCAAATGTCAAAGGCGCACAATCAGATTGAGCTGGAGGAGATTTTCAGATTGGAAGTGAACTCAAGGGGACCAAAATCGAGGTGCTTATGGTTGAACAAGGGATCATAACCCTAGCATCTTTCATAAGATGGCAAATACTCGTAGGAGATTTAGCCATATTGACAAGCTAGATATTAATGGGACTATTACTGAAGACAGGGATGTGATTGCTCATCAGATTCTTTCTTTATATTAGGCACATAGGATGAAGTTTCTTATATTTCCAGTGATGAAGCTGAGTAACAGCTGCAAAGACATTCTCTTGAAGAGGAGATTCTTGGTGTTATTAGAGCCAGATGGTTTCTCCATGGGTTGCTACAAATAATGTTGGTATACAGTTAAAGGAGACTTGATGTGGGCTACAAATCATTTCCACGATCTGGAGCATTTTGAGAAAAGCTTAAATTCGTCTTTTATTGCTCTCATCCCAAAGAAGTGCTATAAAAAACTGAAGGAATTTTAGACCTAGCAGTTCGATAGATAGTATTTATAAGATTATATCTAATGCTCTTATGGACATATTAAAAGTTGTACTTCCTAAGTTGATCAATACTTCTCAGGTGGGTTTCTTAAGTGACAGAAATATCACTGATGCAGCCTTGATAGCTAACAAATATTTGGACTCAAGGACAAAAATTGGAAAACTTGGAATTCTTGCAAATTGGATATCAAGAAAGCACTTGGATCATGTTAATGTGAAGTTCATGCTGGATTTATTGAGATAAATGGGCGTCAGTATCAAATGGATCATTAGATTAGCTTTTATATTTCATCAGTGAAGTTCTGGATTCTCATAAATGGTGCAGCACATGGTTTTTACTCTAGTCAAAGAGGTTTGAGACAACAAGACCCTTTATCTCCTTTCCTCTTTGTTTTGGTGATGGGGAATGATGGAGGGACTCAGTAAGATGACTCACAACGTGGCTCAAGCAAATTGAATTTCTGGTTTCTCTTAGGGCCCTGAAGGTTTGAAAACCTCTCATATTCTTTATGCAGACGACATAAATCTTCTATGAAGCCAAGGAACAGCAACTTATGTTCTTCAGGATGTTTCTAACAATTTTTAGGCTGTTTCAGGCCTTGGTGTTAATTTTGCCAGAAACTCCATATTCCTGGTCAGCAATGTCTGATATTTACAGTTTGGTGTATCTTATGATGCAACATTAGATCCATCCCTACAAAGTATTTGGCACTTCCTTTGGGGAAAAAATACAATTCAGCGGCCATTTGGAATGAGGCTCTTGGAAAGATGGAGAAAAAATTATCCAACTGGAAACGACAATAATTTTCTATGGGTGGAAGTGTCACTCTAATCTACAGTGTTCTGAATGCTCTTCCCACTTGAACAATATCACTATTTCCTGCTCCTGCTTCAGTCTTAACGTGCATGGACAAAATTACAAGGGATTTTCTATGGAAATGAAATAAACAGTCCAAGTCTTTTCCCAAATAAAATGGAACAGTGTCACCAGAGATAAGAAGAATGGCAGTTTTAGCATTAAGAACCTAAAGCTTCATAATGTTAGTCTCTTGACCAAATAGCACTGGGAGGTTTAACAGGAAAGAGAGCACACTTTTGTAGAGGATTCTAGTTGATAAGTTCACACTAGATGGTTTTGGCATACCAAAGTTTCAAATGTCCCTCATGGAGTCTGGAAGCATATTCAAACACATTGGAGTCTCTTTGAAACAAATGAAGCTTTCTGGTATGTTGTAGCAGAAGCTTTAGATTTGGGGAAAATGCTGATTTTTTTATGAACATAGTTAGAATCTTTTTCTCCAACAAAGCATAAATGACCAGGAAATATAAAGAGCATGCTCTCTTTTGAATCTACTTGTCACCATAACAAAAGGATGATACTTTCAAATGGAAACTTTTCAGTGAAGTCATGCTACAAATTGTGAAAAAATGGCCATACCACTTCTTGGGGCTGGAGGAAATTTGGCACAACGAAGCAAGTAAGCAACCTTCGAAGGTATCTTGCTTCTCTTGGTTGGTGGTTGAAGAAGCATGTCTCAATCAAATCTTGAGAGAAGAGGAATACAACTATGTAGCAGATGTCCCCTTTGCAAAGAGAATCCTGAAGTGGCATGCCACTTATTTTTTCACCACAAGATCACTCACCAGATTCAAAGATGTTCTTTGCAATTTTTAACATGAAACGGACAGTGCCCCACTCTATTCTAGAATTTCTGCATAGCTGGAACAGAGTTGGGCTCAACAAGAAGGCACACAGTTTGGAACACATAGACCTTAGGTCATTTGGTGGGCAATTTGGATAGAATGAAACAACAGAATTTTTTAAGGCAAAAGGAGGAATATACATAGGCTTAAGCTTATGACACTTGTTAGCTTTCTGGTGCAACTTGGCTATGTAAATGATGTTGATTCCTTCTTTAGATATATCGGGGAGCTGCACAATATGTAAATCTTGATGCACTTTCTTAGTCCCATCCTTTCCATTTATAAAATTTACCATTACTTATCAAATGAAAGAGATTAGCAATTAATGAAACAACTGATTAAGAATTGGATCTAATGTTTTTTAATTAAGATTTTGATGTGATGTTAATTTTTCTCATCTCATTAGACCAATCTTGCACCACAAAGAGAGAATCATCACATATGCAGAACAATTTCATTCATATCATGTTAAGAAGATAGTATTTATACCCAGAGATATATAAATCTTGAAAGGAGGCTTGAATGGCTGTGTCTCATAGAGGCAATATAGGCAATATAGTCCACCCAGTCTACTCAAAAGAGAATTAGTAGACACCATGTAACCTGCAATACATTACATTTGGTTAATCTGCTGAAAGAAAATGTCAGTCAAGATGAAAATCCTATTGTATGATGACTGCTCCTTCCACCAAAATTTTAAGAGAAAAACGAAGGCTTTTCTTTAAAGTGTCATGACTTTACACTCCCTTTTTTTTTGAAGAGGGAATGAATGTCATCATAAATTGAAAATGATTTGGATTTTAAGGTTTCTCTATATTTCTGTTATGTTTTGTGATATGGCTCTTAGTTCGTGTTCTCCGCATTCTTACTCATCGACTGATAGACCAAGTGGAATTTGGTTAAAATAGCACATGAAATGCATCATATTAGCAATCAAATAAATCTATGACCATTTGTATTTGTAATACGAAACCACATATATCAAATAAATAAACGGTGTTCCCTTCATGAAATTGATTTGAGTCCTACTTAAGAGAAAAAGGCATAGGCATCGCAAATCTACTGGTACTTCAATGCTATAAATTTTTTTAACAGTCCTATAGTGTGCACCTCATGATGGTCGTATTCACATTAAAGGTAGAGAAGATTATATATCTGGTTGGTCATACTTTCTCTTTCTTTTGTTTGGGGTGCAGTAGATGCTAATACGTCATACATTTTAGTATGCCACAGTAATCAGAATCATTCTCTCCGGAAGAAACTAAAAATATGTTACATTAGGCAAACCAACAGAGTCTAGAATGGAAAAAGATTAACATACCAATGCAGTAGGCATAGAGTGATTGTATAAAGCATGCCTGATCTTTAGAGGGACTAGCCTCGAAAATATAGGAGAACTTTTTAGAAACACACACTCTCTTCATTTCTGCAAAAGTAGGAGATCCACCCTACAACATAACCATATTATCAGTATGAACAATCATGAGAAGTGCAGGATAAACAAATAGAGATTGATATCTACTGTATACTTAAACTGAAGACAACATGCATAAACAAGTTAGTAGTACCTTTGCAAACTCATTTATAAGCTCGTCAATGTCTAATTTGAATGGTTTAAGGTCCATATAGCTAACCTTGACTTCTCTTTATGGCCTACAAGAAGAAAATTTCTTGTAGAAAATATTAATGCAATATCATTACAGTTAGAAAATATGATGACTAAAAACATACAATAAAACGCATAACAGACCTCTGTGCGCTAAGATTGTCTGGTTCATTGGTAAAGTAAATCAACATATTTGCAGGTTCATCGAGCAATAACTTAACAATTTAAACATATCTGTGGGTAATTACTTGTTAAATACGATGGTTAGTTCATTCAAGAAATAATTAGTGTGAATCATACTTTTCAAGTAACAACAAATTATTCCAGTAACGCTAAGCATATAAAGAAATTGTAAGGGCATCTCAAAAAGGGTAAGAATATTTAAAGTACAGGTTCGATACAGATCATCAATATAGTTAAAATTGTTCCAATAAGATGCAAATTCTCACATGCAATATTCAAAATATTCGGCAACACAATTCATTTTCAATTCGCTTCCATGTAAATTATGTATAAATCATGCAATTTGTGAAAAAACAAGTTGTGGAAAATTCACTACTCAGTACTCACAACACTCGTGCTGAGATACCAAATGTGTCACAACGAGCAATTCATTTGACTTCTTCAACTACCTAATATCACTAAAAGAATCTATGTGTTAGCTTTATGAACTTCTATCATAATAAATTCACTGTAACTGACCCTCAACTTGTCCAATCGTGTTTGTCCATCTATGAGTAGCTCAAACCAATCAATAATCCACCAATTACAACCTATTTGTATCATTAAATTCATTCGGTTCATCAAAAGTTCCATGGATTCTCTTGATTTTCTTAACCCTAGTATTTCAACTATTAATCTCATCCCAACTCTTCAAAACAATTCATAATTTAGTTTATCCATATCATATAAAAGTCAAATCAAATCTATAAATTTTTTATCAAAAAAATAAGTAAAAGATTACCTTGAGATCAAATTTTCAAAGGCCTTTGACAGCTTGTTGAACTAGGAAGAAAAACAATTGATTTCAGTGAGTATGAATAATGAGATTCATGGATCCCAAAAATGAAATTTGGCTTTAGGAACGGCGGAAGGGATCAACAGAGGTTTTTTTGTCTCTGTGTGGTTTTTGCGATTCTCTTTGTGAGAGAAAGAAATTATGAGGTATAAAACTTTGGGGATTTGCCTCCTTTTTATACTGGATAGTCCAGCAGTGGTACCCCCCCCCCCCCCCCCCAGCTATTCCCTTTTATTTTAAATATATGTTCCTTAGCACTAGAAGTTCTTCACATTTTCTGCTAGCATATATTTTTTTGATAATTAGGTAATCTCCGAGAGCCAGTGATGCACAATTTGAAACTTGGTCGTTAATGAGGTTACCCCTCTACCCTTCTCCACTTAAATACAAGATTTTGTGTGGTAGGGTTCAAATATACACACATCAAGTGCTATATAGTCTTACCAGTCTACTAACATATAAATCAACAATACTAAAAGACTCCTAATAAATATTGACCTAAAGTAAATATACGAACATGACTAAAACTTAATCCCAACTAATTGATATTGCCTATATGGATGTTTCTTCCATTATGTCATATTTTTCTCTAAGTTTACATGGATTTCAAGAGTTTGTAGGTCTTTGAGAAAGCTTCATTCCATGCGACTTTAGGTTTACCTTGGTCCCTTTTTAACACCTTCCACCATCATGATTTCGCATCGTGCATTTGGAGCTTGACATAAAATATGACCAACCCATCTCAATTGACCTCTAGTTTTATGATTTTACCTTTATGTTTATTACTCGCACCTTCTAAAATGTGTATTATCTTGTCTAATCGTGTGTGGTTGCATATCTATCTTAATATTCACATTTCTGAGACACACATTTAGTGGATATGCTAGACCGTAGAGGTCCAACATTACCCCTATATAACATTGCTAGTAAAATGAGCTTATTATAGAACTTGCATTTCACTCTGACAGATATCCTTGTCTGAAATAACACTTCAGTGCCACCTCTCCTATTCAACCATTCTATTTTGGTTTTGTGTTACATTTTCATCTTTTTTGATCAAGTAAATGTATTTTCATTCATAACATGTAACAAAGTGACTGCTTTATTGTAAACTAAGTGCTTAGCAATTTGTTCCAAAAAAGTGACTGAGGTCTAACCAGTCACTATGCTTATAGATCAGCTAATAATTCAGAGAAGTTCACTCTGAAGTAGTAGCTTTCTACAACAATAACTTACCTAGTGTAATTCCACAAAAGGAGTCTGGGGAGGGTAGTAGCTTTCTGTTCTAACAATCTTTGTCGGTTACTACCTGTATATAGAGTGACAGTCTCTTTATGAAATCTAATAGAAGCTACTTCACTCCCATTTGGCCATTGATTCTGGGAGTAGATTTTCAAAAACAAAAAAGAAAATTGAAAAAATAGTTTGTTCATGGAATTTGGTCTGTTTTTTAAAATCTATCTTCACACTGGTCCATACCAGGTGAAAACACAACATCATGGAATTTTGAATTTTTTCAACAAACTTCAAAAACTCTTCTTCTTTGTTTTCCAAGTTTCAACTAATCCTATGTCCAAAAAGCTAGTTTAATTTCAATTCATAAAAGAAAACAATGCAGACAATTAGGAAGATTTCTAGTGAAGTTATTAGCATAGTAGTATCAACCTATGCATCAGCTAATAGCTTAATATATTACTACTAGTCTTCTTTCACTGGTTTCTATGTTGTCTGCACACAATACCAAATAGCAAATATGCACCCAAGGATGTGACTTATTGGTCAATGAAGTGGGTTGAGCACCGTGAGCTCTCAAGTTTAAATCCCAGCATAGACAGAACAGGGCAATTTCTTCCTATCGGTTTTCGTCTTGGTGGACACATTCACCCAGTAGGAGGTAACTGGCATGTGGAATTAGTCTAGTGCTCGCAAACTGAGGCTATCAAAAAAATAAAAAGAATACCAAATAGCAAATATATGCAAAGAGATCCTTGACCTCAAGGATCTAAATGAGGAAACATTGTCGTCAATACATTAAAGAAAGATTCCCAAGTAGCATGATCTGCTGATTTTTGCTTCGAAATTGAGCTCTGCTTTGACAAATCATCAGCAATTGATTCCACAATGTTGTTTAGAAGATCCTTAGCCATAATCCTCTCAGGCATTTTCTTACCTGCTCCACCAAGGTTAAATCCATTTCCACAATATTCATGTGTGTCCTGAGCTAGTGATGGCTGCAAATGGTCGTCCATTCTGCCCAGAAGATGCAGTCCCTTCAACTGTCGGACTTGTGTTTATGAATAAAGGGCCAGGAGAGTGGAATAACATAAACAACTGATTGCCTCCATTCTCCTTGAGATCCTCAGTGGTGGAATATCGACTAGAACCTCGATAATTGATGGCTTCTAATTGTGCAGCAATGCAACAATTCACAAAGTACACATCATGATCACCTATTCTCATCCTCAATTGTATTACTTTCTTGTTCTCAACCCACACTTGTGCTTCTTCCTCTATAATTAGGTCTGGTCTTTCTACTGTTACTAGAAAGAATGATTTCTCAATCTCTTCCCATGGCCAGATTTTTTTACCCCAATTTTCGTATCACTCTCAAAGTCGAAACATAAATCACAACAAGTCATGATCTTGAAAACAATTAAATCAAAATGAGCTTCCGCACTTCCTTCCAATCACTATCTAAAGATTTTATATCCATATCACTCTCATCATCAAAGGAAAAGCCACCTGTGATGCATATTTTCAAAATCACTCTCATTATCTATAAAGAACGCATTACAAAACAAATCTTCAAAAAAGCTTCAGTTTTATTGTTTCTCTCAATGGTGCCACTATACAGACAATCTACATCTAAATCTCTTTTAGGCATTTCATCGAGAACCTTGCAAGCATATGATGTCTTCTCCTAACTAATTAAACAGCCCGTAACTAACTGCTCATATGGCAAATCAATTCACTTTTGTGTAACAATATATAAAATTCTGAAAAAAAAACAGAAAAAGAAGTGAACTGAGAACTAACCGAGGAAGCTATGAACGGAGATACGACTGAAGAAGACCGACGAACAGGTGGAGGGTGACGGCGGCCGACGATCAGCAGGAAGCAACAATCAGAGCAAAACGATGTCGTATTTGTGAAACTAATATAACAACTCTGCGTGACAAATAAGATTAAGGATTAGGACATGAATTGGGCCACTGTTAGTGAACAAAGGGAGTAGTGACATGCTAAGATAAACGTTCTAATCAACCAAAGTAATAGATCAGAATGTCTAGATTGGATAAACATGAGATAACCCATCTTAGTTAAAACGGATATATTTTTCACAAATGAGCCATCCAAGACAAGTAAATTTATTTAAGGTTTCCGGACATGGTTCAGCAAGAGCAAAGCACCATAAGTTTTGACTCCAAATAACAATATATATCAATCCAATGCCTGTACTAGATGTTAAAGTAGCTTGAAAGAAGATGAAGTCACATGGTAATTTGAAATCTAAGTTAAACAAAATGCCTTCTTGAAAGCATATATAACTTTATAATTCATAAGATGAAGTAATCATATTATTATTGTGACACTACTGCCAAGACATTCATATATATATACTAGTTTTTTGAAAGCACGTGATTACCAATTCAGAAAATATATTTATAGTAAATAGTATTGCTTATTTAGGCGAATATTTGAATACTAAGGTTAGCACAAAATAATATTGCAGATTCTTTTGTGAATGTTCAATGTGGATCGTTATTTATATCTCTTATTTACTCGAACCTATGAAGATTGTCAATGAAAATTTTTATTAGTTAAATGCAATAATGTATATATTTATTTCAATTTGATGAAGATGTAATTAGTCGTATCTCATTAATATTACCTTATAGACGATATTTTTTGTGTATTTTTATAAATTTGGAAAAACAGTATATTCCTTCTGTAATGCAAGCATCAGAAAACGCGTGAACCATACATTAAGGCAGTGGCGGAGCCAGGAATTTCACAAAGAGTGTCCAGAAATAGCTCATTCCAAGGAGGTGAAACCACTGGGCTACAATAACTTGTTGTGTTAAGGGTGTCCAAAATATGTTATCTAATCATTTCGTGTATCATTTTACTTGTATATACGGTATTTTTTTCCGACGAATTGAACACCCTGACCACCACCATGTGGCTACGCCACTGCATTAAGGTATAAAACATACAGGGCAAATGTTGAAGCTTAACAAACCAAATGTGAATATTTAAACTTCATTGCAATATGCATAAATAGAAGCTAACAGAACTCCACTACACTACTGACTACTACTTGTACACATAATTCTATGTTAAAACAAAATAAATCGAGTAAATAACCTTTTTTTCCGGCCAGCGTTCTGAGACGACGAGTAAGGTGACTTCGCAACCACTAATCGGAGCTCCAATAAACAGTGGTGGGTTAATCTTAGCGAGAACACTGTTTTTTTCACACACGCTTAAGGGTATTGAATGAATGTATTGTTGGTGAATGGTGAGGATTGGGTTATTTTGGTGTTGGGCTGGATTGGGAAGAAGGAAAATTAAATTAAATTGGGCTAACATTTGAACAAGACTAATTAAGGAGCCTTAATCGAATAAAAATAATTAATTTAATTATAAAACTAACTAACTCAGAATATAAACTAAACTAAATTAACGAAATATTTATTTAACTAAAATATAAAATCTTTTGAGATGATTTTCAAATATTTATAAAATACACTACTTATATAAAATATATATATTATTTAAAAAAGTGACAAAACTATTTAAAATCACTTGAAAAACTTTGTGAATTTTATAAAATAAATTATTTCAAATCGTTCAAGATTGAAGAAACTCGATGATTAATATATATTGTGGAGGATCAAAATTGGGTGTCAACATACATTTACTTATTTGTACATATAAATTCCTTTTTTTGACATGTTTATTTAGGAAGTTAAATTTATCTTTCTTTGTTTGGTAAAAATCATATTTGGTAAGAATTCTAATCAAATACAATAACTATGATTTGTGGGTTTGTTTTCAATTTTAATAATCTAAATTTCCGCCTCATTATTTAAGTTAAGACTCAAATTCGTATAAAAATAAATTTCAAGCAAGATAACCACAACTATCGAAACTATAGCTACGCTACATAAATAAGCAAAGGAAAAATCACCCCATATACACATTTAAGAGTCAATATTACAGGTTTTAAATCTACTTTTAAAAAATTCTTGCTTATAACAGTTTAATTACGGGTTATAACATATCACTAATTATTTATAAATTAATTAAATTTTACTTTATTAAATAAGTAATTTTTTGTAATTTTATATTATTATTAAATTATTTAAATAAAGAATACCCCATAATTATCTCTTACACAATTATAGGGATTTTACATTGATTACACTTCTTTATTTAATGTTACACTCATAACCTCCCATTAGTCAATCCCACCACCCTTCTCCCACACCTATCCAACTATACATGCTATCACCCCACTTTAACCTTCTTCTCTCCCATTTTTCTCAATTCAATCTTTCGTCCAAATTTTTTTTCCAAAAAAATTATGTCTAAGAAACCCATTAAAACGCCTCGAAAGAGTCCCAGATTGGGTGAAGGAACTTCTAATGATGATGTTCATGTTTCAAATTTTAATATATTAACTCAACCCCCCCCCCCCCCCTAAAATTGTTGAAAATCCGGCGACGGATGGTTCATCTAAGTTGAAGGAGCGACAAATAGAGAAAAAAAGAAGAAAAAAAAGGTCACCCCTACAAATCAAAAGGGGAAAATTGTTGAAACCCCTTCCGATTCCAATTTTGATTTTGTTACTGAAATCAAAAAGAAAAAAGAAAAAAAAAACAAATATAGAAGTTGGAGCATCTTCAAAACCATCAGCAAGAAGAACAACAAAAAGTTATTTTTTTAAAACTTTTGGACAATTTTTTTGTGTTTAAGTATTTGATGATATATAATATCATATGTTTTCTTTCAGGCAGATACCGTTTACATATGAATTACTAATTGCCTATTACAATTTCAAGATATTATTTTGAAAATATCAGTGTGTTTTCAAACTGTACATTTATTGGATAAAATCTGTATGAAATCTGATTAATATGTGTATGACTACGCTTTAATGTTTTGATTTTGAAAATTTTATGAATTGTGATATAATAATGGTATACAAATGGTATGAATTGCGTTTTAACATTGGTGTGATTGTCTATTAACTGTGTTTATGGTATATATTATTAATTTGTATGAAAATGGTATGATTTGTCAAACTACTGATTTTTTCTAAAAAAATCACATTATGCTTACTTTCTATTCTAAACATTTTTTTGGATGAAACGTGTATGAAATCTGATTAATACGTGTATGCCTATGAGTTTAATATTTTATTGTTGGATATTGTATGAACTATGATATAATATTGATATGCAAATGGTATAAATTGTGTGATTATATGAATTTATCAATTTTTATTAGGGGTGGGCATAAATATCGAAAAACCGAAAAACGGAACCGACCGAAAAAATTTGGTTCTTCGGTGTTTCAGTTCGGTGTCGGTTTTTTTTTCCGAAACTTCGGTTCTTCGGTTCGGAGTTCGGTGTAAGGGTCCCGAAACTACGGTGCACCGAAGAACCGAAGTTTTATTAAATAAATTTAAAAGTATTTATTATATTACTTAATTTTTAACTTTACTTGGCCCATTTCAATTTTTATATTTAGATCCTAAACTTAAATAGCAAAAATCTTAATAACAAAATAGTAAACCCTAAAGACCTAAAGTCTAAACTAAACAAAACTCAATTTAATTCAAGTTTGAGCAGCAACTTGGTGTTTCTACTTTCTACTTTTTTTATCATTTTATGTTGTTACTTTGAAGTGAGAACAACAAATTGATGTTCTTACCTTTTATTGTTAGACGGTTAGTTGTTATTTTGAAGTTTGAAGTGTGAAGTGAATAACAATTATTACTTTATCATTCTCTCTTTATTTTTGTTGACACCGAAAAATCGATTTTAAAACACTGAACTAAACCGAACCGATCTAGTTTGGTTTGAAATATGGTGCACACTTTTCTAAAATCGAATACCGAAGAATCGAACCGAAATTTGATTAAACCGAACCGAAGAACCGAACGCCCACCCCTAATTTTTATACATGTTGTTTGGATAAAACGTGTATGAAATTTTGATTCATATGTGTATGACACTAACTGAAGTTAGTGTGGGAATGAAACACTAACTGCAATTTGTTTTAAATTTATTTATAGTATGACACCAGTTGAAAATCAAATTAATACTCATGTAAACTTACATTAAATAAAATACTCAGGATACTATAATTACCTTTTATAATTATCATTAATATTTACACTATCTTATGTATTAAGCTGGAATAAATTTTATTTTTAACAGTATGCAATCTGTATGATTAATGAATGAACCGTGTATAAAGAATGAATGGTTTATTAAACACTAAGTTTATAATGCACTTCAAACCAATTATGTTTCATATCAAAACAAAACATTAATCTAAACGACAAAATAAAATAAAAATTATATATAGTCTAAACAAATAAACAGTCATTAGTTTTGTACAAGATAATTTGAACATGCTTCATGTTGTGGCCAACTTACAACATCTACTGCAAGTAACGTTTGACCTTTTGAATTTCACATCAGCAATCATCTTTCATATATAATTCATTTCATTTGAAAATCAACATAATTTTCTGTTTCATTAAAAAAATAACAATTAGTCTAACATTATACAAATCAATTAGAAATATGTCAAATAATATTAACTTTTCATTCCAAAGACAATACAAATTTCATCCATAAAAATCATTATAATAACAACAAAATTATACACACTCGTCATTATTTTTTCATACAAATATCATTCAGACAGTACATTACAAAACAAATTTCATACAAAACATAATATTTCACATTTAATACTCACTTAATACACATTTCATACAACAATCATCATTCATACCTAATTTATACATTTTCATACTCATTTAATACACATTTCACACAAAACGATTATTCATTCAAACTATATACATTTCTCGTCCCAAATAAT